TTTACAACAATTGTACAACCAAACTATACCCGGCAAGTGAATATACACTAACGCTTTTCTCTTTTCTACTTTTCCTATCTTTTAATTCACCTTTACAATTTTGAGCCAACGCTCCAAAGAATCAAGTCATTTCGTATACTTTCAATATTCGTATCACAATTCGAGCCTATGCTCCCAGGAAAATCAATTGATCATATTACCGTTCACATGCTATTCACAACATATAGAAATCCTCCAATAAACACGGAGTTCACAACCAAATCATGATAATCACATTATAAGGACTCACGGTCATGCTAGACACCAATGTATAGATACTCGTCACCATGCCTATACATCGTACTCGATCACATAGCAATTAGCAACAAGACTCAACTCCTATTCCCTCAAGCTAGGGTTAAACCAAACACTTACCTCAAAGCCTTGAAATCCACTTAATCCTCAACTATCGCTTTACCTCGTGATTCCACTTCCAATACAGTGATATCTAGGCATAATTAATTCAACAATATCAATAAAGACTCAATGGCAAACTTCTCATAGCCTAGATATGAATTTTCTAGCATTATTCCAAAAAATCCAAAATTAGACACCGGGCCCACATGGTCCAAGCTCTAGGCTCGGACCAAAACCCGATCACCCATAACCCCACGAGTGCAAATATATAATTTGTTTTAAGATTCGACCCCAAATTGAGGTTGAATTGCCCAAAATTCTCAAAACCCTAACTCTACCCAAAACCCATAATTTCTACCTTGATTTCATGTTTTTAGGGCTAGGAATTCACTAATTAATGAAGGAAACAAGTTGAACAATGCTTACCAAGGAAGTTTTGATGAAAGGGAGCTTCAATGGACGCCTAAGTGCTTGGAGAAGAAAGGGTTTCGTGTGTTTTTATGAAAAATCTCGTGCTACTGTTCTGTTTTTAACTTAAAAATTCGCTGGGCAAAATTGCCCTACGCGATCGCGGAAATAGGGATGCATCGCGAAGGGTACCACTGACTGGTCATCGCGATCGCGTGGAGGGTTACGCGATCGCGTAGAAGAACTCCTGGGGGTCCAAGGATTTGGCTTACGCGATCGCGTGGTTCAAGACGCGATCGCGAAGGAAGACGACTCAGTGCTATGCGATCGCGTGGGGAAGAGCGCGATCGCGAAGAAGGAAATCCCTGTGTAAAAATTACAGAAAATCTGATATCATCCTAAGTCCAAAACCACCCCGAACACCTCCGAAAATACTCCCGAGCCCTCGGGGCTCCTAACCAATCACAAACCCTAACTCAATAACATCTTACGAACTTACTCTAGCGATCAAATCGCCAAAATAACCTCAAAATCATTGGATCAAACCTCAAAATCATCATTTTCCTTTTAAACTTCATAAACTTCAAACTTTAGATATTTAGGTCCGAAACACGTCAAACGACGTCCGATTTCGACCAAACTTTACAGAAAGCGCTTAACACATATTTAAGACTTGTACCGGGCGTCGGAACCAAAATACGATCCCGATACCACAGTCTTTTAATCAATTTTCATTTCCTTTTTCCTTAATAATTTCAGAAAAATAATTTCACAGAAAAATTCATTTCTCGGGCTCTAGACCTCGGAATTCGACTCCGGGCACATGCCCGAGTCCCATATTTTTCTACGGACCTTCCGGGACCGTCCAATCTCGAGTCCGGGTCCGTTTACCAAAAATGTTGACCGAAGTCAACCTTAAACATATTAATATCAAAATTCTTCAAATTTTTTACAGAATTCACATATTTCAACATAAAAGCTTTTCGGCTACGCGCCCGGACTGCGCACGCAAATCGAGGCAAGTAAAAATGAGGTTTTCAAGGCCTTGGAAGCACAGAATGAATGAGGAAATAGGTGATGACCCTTTGGGTCGTCACATAAAGCACTGAATTGGCGAATTAATTCAGAATTTGTTACGAGTTCGGCTAAACCTAGTAGCTTTGGTCCAAATCACATATTTATCTTAAGAAATTCATTGAATATGTACAGATTATTAATTTGAAACCTAGTAAATTATAAGATTTAACATTTAGAACTTAAAAGATTCAAATCTTGGTTCTGCCTCGATATATGAACCATGCACACGTTCCATGAATAGCTCTACAGTGACCACGTCTCTCAAAATTCAAAAGAGTATATATATTTACTGGGCCTTTGGACATAAGAATTGAAAAATTCTAAAATAGGGTGAAAAAAAATTTCAAGTGAAAATGGTATTTGAAATTCATAATTGTGTTTGGACATAAATATAATTTTGGGTTATTTTTGAAGTTTTGTGAGTGATTTGAGTTAAAATTTTGGAAAACAACTTTTTGAAGTTTTCAAATTTTCGAAAATTTTCAAAATGCATCTTCAAGTGAAAATTGGAAATTTGAACAAACAATGATTTCCGAAAAAAGTAAAAAAATTTTGGGAAAAATGAAAAAACTCATATCCAAATGGGCTCTTTGTAGGCGTTTGGACATAGAGCTGTCAAAACGGGCCGGCCCAGCCCAAGCCTCGCGGGCTTTTAAATTTGGTGGGCTAACGGGCCGGCCCGCCACATGAACGGGCCTTAAAATGGCTAGCCCAACCCAGCCCTAGGGCGGGCCGACCCTTCAATTTTTTTTAGGAAATTTTTTTTTAAATCCTTAAATAATTTTTTCGTGACATAGTCGATTAATCATATAAGTAGCTTCTGTTTGCTTAGAGCGTACAAAAAGCTTGATATTTGACGAGGAATCTCGTAATAGAAATGCAAATTCTTTATATCTCTAACTCTTTTTTTTTAAAGTTACATGACTATTTTTTAATGCTTTTCTTTCATTTTCATCAGATTCAAGGATTGCTTCAATAAGTTTATATGCTAAGTTTTTTAATTTAGGATTAATATCATTTACTGATTTCATCATTATAGTCCATAAAATTTCTAAAATTTCTGAAATTTGTTAGTGGTCAATTTTTTTTTTTTTTTGTGTATTTAAAATTGATCTTTTCTATACTGAAGAGAAGTTTAAATATTAATAGTATATTAAAGTAATACCAATTGATTGTTGGCCACTTAAAGTAATATTTTATGTTGAAAAAAAATTATTATTGGCCACCTAAAACTTTTCGTCCTCGTTATTAATTAAGCAAAAGAAACACTAATTTTCTCATATAACATGCATGTCAAAAATCTAAATTCTAGTTGATATGGAAGAGTAAATGAGCAATCTAGGGTTGGAGAATGAGGATTATAGTTAATAGGCTTTTTAGTTTTATTTTTTAAAAATATTAAATAGTTAATAGTTAATTAATTTGTTAATTTTTGGCCCACGGGCCGGCCCAAGCCCAGCCTTAGTCAAGCCTCAAGGGCCAGCGGGCTGACTTGGGTCGGGCTTATAAACCTCAGTTTTAAATGGGCTCAAAAAATTCTAGCCCAACCCTACCCAAGTAGCGGGCTGGGTTGGGCTGGCCTCACGGGGCAAGCCCATTTTGATGGCTCTATTTGGACATAAGAATTGTAAAATTCCAAAAAATGGTGAAAAAAATTTCAAATGAAAATGGTATTTGAAATTTAGAATTGTGTTTGGACATAAATTTCAGTTTGGGTTGTTTTTGAAGTTTTAGGAGTGATTTGAGTGAAAATTTTGAAAAACGACTTATTTGGAGTTTTTCAAATTTTCGGAAATTCCCAAAATGAATCTTCAAGTGAAAATTAAAAATTTTTATGAACAGACACTGATTTCGTAAAAAAGTGAAATTGTTTAGGAAAAAAAGGAAAAAAAGATTTATGTCCAAACGGGCTCTTAGTTTCATATTGGCACTTCACCAAACTCTTAACTATTTCTTGCCTGCAGTTTCTTATTGAAGGAATAGTGGTTGAGAAACTTTAAAGAACGTTGGGAGTGTTTGGTCCATCAAACAATAAGAACAAATTGTAACACTAGAAATACACGAAACAAATCCAACATAATTAATTAGTCATTCTATATATAACTCCTTGTTAAAGGATATCGATGTCCTTTATATATAT